TGAGATTTTGGAGGGCCTATGAAAAAAAGTTCAAATATTTAATATTCTGGAAACTAAGTTATACACACAGATATTATTTATGGCATGGTTGATGATGCAAAGTAAGTAAATTAATGGGATTTGGGGAGGGGCCAGATGTGTGTGTGTATGCATGTGTGTTTTTAAAAAGTTATAACTATTTTAGAGCTGATACATCAATATTCTGTTCTGATTTCTGACTTAAAAAGCCAGGAAACCTGTAATCACAGTCAGGGGGATTTAGGCATTTCCCCTCCCCCTTCACTCTTTTATATGAACATAAGGAAAGACTGAGACCAGCATCCCCTGCAAATGTGCATTTCCGAAATGACATCTCTCTCCATCGCATATCTGATCCATTTGGTTGCTATGTGTCAAATTTGCTAAGGAATGCTCACTTTGGCAGTATTTAATTTTGGGTGGTTCTGGTGAGCAAATAGCCACTATTAAATTAGCTAATGCAGATGGGAAAACTTAACTTTTTAAAAAATTTGTTAAATGCTACCTTAAGCAGAACAAATAAATAAATAAAATTAGTGAATGCAACTGGCATCTCTAGAAGTTATGTACTGTGTAATTTTGACCAAATCAGTATTTAAGTCTTGGACAAGTTACTGGAGCTTTAGTCCCAAGTATTTTCCTTGCAATCATTAAATTCTAGCTATAAAGCTGCAAAAGAGTCCATTTTGACTGCATTTTGAGGCAAGAATCCAATTTCAACAATTGTGAGATCCAATAATTGGAATCCAGTCAGCTTGGATTATTTCTCCAGATTGGGGTCTACATATTAAGTGAAACCAGGCTCTGGGCTTTGTATTTTTTTAAGTTTTTAAAAATAGGACAAATATACCTATATCCAAAAAATTATTCTGTAATTCATGCTGAGATTTTATAGCATATATTTTTTGCAATTCTTCTGCTTAGATTTCTTAAAATATTTACATCTGTTGTTGCTTCTGGGCTGGCAGAATGCTTTTGTTCTTTGCTTTTGCCTCCACAGTATAATATTGCTGATTTCCCCACAATCTGCATGGTTCTTGAATTAAAATTACAAAATTAGCTGGATAACAGCATGAGCAGAAGTGAGTTAACCAAGTGTCAAGCAATACTTCCAAAAGAGTAGACTATTAATTTAATGCTTTTATGACATGTTTAGTTGGAAACCCCAAGGGTCATGTTCTACTTGTACAGTATAATGAAACATAATTACAAAATGTAAGGGGTTGAAATCCATGTAGTTCAAACCCTTGCCCAATGCAGAAATCCGCTACTACAGCATTCTCAAAGGTTGGCCATCCAGCCTGTTTAAACATCTCCAGCGAAAGAGAATTTACCACCTCCTGATGCAGCATAGGATTTAATTTGTTTTTCTTGCAGATTTGTTACTGCTTGTGACCTACCAAAACATCCAGATCCCTTTTGCGTGTATTGCTGCCAGTATGGTCCCCCACCCTCCCCATATTCTATATTCAGTTTTGATTTTTCCTGTTGGAGTGTAGGACTCTGCATCTGTCCTTGTTGAAATTAATCTTGCTGGTTTATGCCTATTGTTACAGCCTAACATCCTCCTGAAACTGGATACTATCCCCCATTTTTGTGTCACCTACAAATTTGAAAAACATATATAGTATGCCACTCATACTTTCTCCTACTTTGACATGAAGCCACAGATGTATACTGGTTAGATATTATTGTTTAACCACCTCTATCCATCTAATGGTAGCATAATCCAGCTCACATTTTGCCATCTTCTCTGCTAAAATCTTGGAGTGCAGTAGGGGGGAACACTATCAAATATTTTGAAATCAAGGTACACTTTATCCACCACATTTCTGTGCTCAAGTAAACTGTTGTTCTATTCAAAAAGGAGATAATGTTGATTTGGCAGAATTTATTCTTGATAAACCTATGCTGGCTCCTTGCCAAGCAATCCATCATCTGGGAAAAGCTCATAAACAAACTGCTTAATAAAGTATTCCAAAATTTGCCTGGCATTGGAATTAAGATAATTGGTCTGTAGTTGCCTGGGTCTTCTTTATCCCCCTTTCTGAAGATAAGGACAATTTTGCCTCTTCTCTGACCGTCTGGCACTTGATCCATCCTTCATGATTTTTCAAAGATCACAGCCAGCAAATAAAAGCTCTTCTTTACAGACTTGGGCCTTTGTGTCACATTCCTACATCTCTCCACTTGACTTTTTCCTATTTTCTGGAGGTTTCTTGCTCCCACTGTACCTCCAAAAATGTTTTCTGTTTCTAATTCAGGAATCTCCCATCTTACCTGATAAGCTGGGTTGGGCAGTTTTGCCTTTAGTTCTTTCACCTTCCCTTTCAGGAGGGCAGTTTGATTGCATTTGTTACATAAATAGTTCATGTCATCATCAGGGAGAAAAACAAACATGGCATATCCCTTACAGCTCACAAGAACAGTTTTCTTCATCATGTTCCTCTTGTAAACAAAACAACAACAAAAAGAACTCCCTCCCCCTTAAACTCCCCTATCAAACTCCTATTTGCTTGCTCAGTGAAATCTCTGAGAAGCTGTTTGTCTTACGTGTCCCCCAAAGCTGCCTCAACTAGGTCACCAGCAAAGAATGCTCCAATCATACACTTCATTTCTTGATGGTAAGATCAAGAATAGCCCTAAAACTAGATAAAAGAGAACTCAAACCAATGAGTCAAAAACATTATCCTTGTTCATTTAATTATTGAGAAAAATGATCCATATCTGGTGGACAGATCATGTTTTAGGTCATATTTATGCAGAAATATTGACAATTCAAAAAGGTTCACAAACTTTTAAGTACCACCTAATTGTAGCTCAGAGGTTCTGCCAAACAGTTCAGGATGAACTGTGGTTTGGCAAAACTGAACATTTTGGTTGTTCCTGATTTTAGTCAAGAATAAATCCAGAGGGTCTTACTGGGTCCTTACTCCTCTGTCCCACCATCCTTCATGTGACCTGTGTGTTGGCCTGCCACCCAATCTTCCTGGAGCCTTCCTTTCTCTATCTCTCCTTATGCTGTGATTGGAGCCAAGGACATTGCTAGCAGCTAAGTAAAGGTAGAGAAAGAAAGGTCCTGGGAAGAATGTGGGTGCATGGCATGGGCAGATGGATATGCAGCCTACAACTGAAGCCAAAGACACTGGTAATGGCTATCCTATCAGCCCACATGCTCTTAATTTTCCTACTTCCCCTTAGCCACCACTCACTGCCATTTATTTGATGTTCTGTTTGCCCCTTTGTCCTGTTCTTTAGATTTTTGGTAGAATATTTGCTTTTTATTGAAAAACTGAACCAAATTGGAGTTGAGTCGATATGTCTTTTCTTTATTACCTGCTAACATTTTACCATCTTCAATGAACAGCTGGTAGTGATAATTTTATTTTGGTTTTCTTTTAACATATCTAACAAAACCTTTTTTGCAATTCTTAGCATACTTCACTAACCTAAGCTTATTTTAAGCTTTTGCTTGCCTGACAAAAGTATCTCTACACTCTAAGTATCTGTTGGTATTCCTTCTTGATAATTGGGCATTATTTAACTCTTCTATATGTGTGGTGTCTTTATTTTCAGTTCCTTACATTTCCTGTAACCACATATTCTGTGCCTCGGTATCCCCTAATACCCCAAGATTTTAAGTGCAGTGGAACAAAACAAAGGTCCTACCTTGGCAAGGTCTTACCTTGGCAACAAAGGTCCTATCTTGGCAAGCCTAAATATTTTCTACTAGTACAAAGCATCATTGAATCCATTCATTCTTCTTCAATATAGTTTATTCCCAAGTAAGAATGCACTGTAGCAAGCATCTTTCCCACTTAATCACTTTGTTATCATCATAAGTTAAATCAGTCAACCAGCAAATTACAACTAATTATAAACTGCCAACATTCCTCGTACACATGAAAAACAAGCAAACAATGGAGCATAGTGAACCATAATCTACTGGCCTATCAAAACAGAAATTACCATGAAAAGTATTTTTTGTGAAATCACTTGACATAAACTTTTTAAAAAGTCATTATTTTCAATTGTAAAGCCTATTCTTTTAAAGAGTAAGAACAGAGGTTGGAGAGACAATCTGCCACATCAAAATGAATTCTATATGAGCCAGATTTTGCTGAAATTTGACGGAACATCTGACAGCCAAGAGTATATAAGATTGTGTACATCATGTCAAATAAACTGGAATTAACACTCATATCTTTAGGCATGCTGACTGTATCAGTTCATAACACATATGAAGAATAAGTAACACCAAATACCAACTGATCATAAACAAATATAAAAGCTAACTCACTATATTGGCTTGACCTTCCCCTCTTTTTTATTTTTACATCTGGAGGAATGGAGAAATACTAACAAGTTTCAAATTACACTTGCTTTTTATTATAGCAATTTTAGAAAAATATTTTGGAATGAATAAACATGTTCACTGTTTTTACATGTTAAACTAATTGTGAATAGAAAAAATGAAAGAGCAAAAACTCCAGAGATTTTACAAACTTTCCTCTGCTGAAAGAAGTGAATTCTAATAAGGTCCAGAATGTCACCTTTATGGGTGCTCAAGTATAGAACACAGTTTTACTGTCAGAAGTTGGGCAACTGGATATGCCACACAGGAAGTCGAGGACACTCATGGTGGGGATAGGTAGGGAAGATAGGAGAAAGAAGGCCCTAGGAAGATCAGAGGCAAGCAGTAAGTTCATAATTACATTTTCTCTAAAAAGTAATTGGAAATAAGTCAGAAGCAGGACCAACATTATTTAAAGAATACAAATGTAATTGTTCAGTTAATTTACTGTCTTTTTTTAAGATTCCAAATATTTTTTAAAAATTGGTCTGATTTAAGAATGGAGAGGTAGCTTTGTGACTATTTTCTTTTGTTTTAAGAACTACCTATTTAACACTCTCTTTACACTTTGGATTTAAAAATTCTGTTACTTCCACTGCAAAAGAACACCCCCAAGTTAGTCTCGTACCTTCTGCTCTCCAGTGGACGGCCGTCACTAGAAATACTGCGTGGAATGTTGGCGGCCCGATCTGGAGGAGGCATTTTTCCTTCACTTTTTCCTGAGGCAACTCTAGTGGTAATTGGGCTTTGCATCTGAGATGGCATTTGCTGAACATGAGATACTTGTCCCTTGTTAGCATTTCTCTGCCACTTGTTATTATTTCTGAATGGGAATTTGAACTCGTATGGAACTCCACCATCATTCATTTTGTATTCCATCACTGGCATGCGGTGAATTTCTGAAAAACTCCTGGAAGGTTGAAAAGGAAGGTTAAACAACGTATGAAATAAAGGGAAAGCATGTGAAGTGCACTGTTATCCTTATAAAACAGCAATGAGAATATCTTAAATACAAGTATGAAACTCACAGATTGTTATAAGTTAGTTCCAAATATAATACTTTTAGCTTGTATTTCTGGGATGTCTGCAGCAAGCCATGGTTTTTCAGAATGACAAAACATGTATTGGATCATCACAATGCATGCCTTATCCCTTGCATGCAACATCACAGTACAAGTGCAAAAGGGACAGTGTTTGAGTCACAACACATGTTTTACCATTTCTTCCCTTACCCTATCCTGTGAACATGCATAGGGGAAGGTGGCATCAGTAAAAACTGTCGTGTTTCTTTTCCAATTTATCAGTTAAATCTAATGATTTTCTAGGAAGGGAAACATCCCTCCTGCTTATTGAAGAAGTTACAGGAACACCAAGGAGAAAACCACACCCCTACCAACACTGGCAGGGCAAGTTTCTGAATATAAACAGGGAGCAAACCCCATACTCACCAGCACTGATGATGTTACCTAGCTGGGTAATGAAATGTCTGTAAGCAAATAACCAAGCTCAGAGAACACCAAGGACTCCATATACCAATGTCTTTTAAAATAGTTACCATCAATATAAATGCAACAAGCAAACTAATCATAATTGGTCCATCTTTTTAAATAACCTATAATGGTGGAAATCCTGATAAAAGATATTCATCGTTTTACTAAATGTATTTACATAATGACACTGATTTGTATAAATCCCAAAGTGGTTTGCAAAAATAAGAAAGCAATATTGGCCGGCACTGGGATAGTGTATATCACCGAGAAGAGGTTATTTTATAGCAAAAACGTCATCAACAGAGAAGGACTGCCCTTGTTTTTACTGCTAAGCCTTCAAAAAGGAAGTTGCAAATCATTGGGAGCATATGTAATATGGAAAGCAGGACTCTCTTGAACACTGAAGGTGCTCAGGAAAATACACTGTATGATAGCTGGTTCCAGGCTATATAGGGTCTGGCTTTCTATATTGATGCCAACACTCTCACCTGTCTTGATAGCAGACTACAGCCACAGCACATCTTTTAACAAAAAATGTATGGGTAAGCCACCTCCAGCCAGAAACCTAGCTCTTGTATTCTGTTCTAACTTCTGAATCTATCCCTCATTATGTTACAATAATCCAGTGTGAATTGTTATTAACTTTCCTATCTGAAACTACTGAAGAGTGCCTATGTCACAGAGTGGGTTCAAATTCTCAGATTAACAAACTAAATCAGTGATGATGATGATGATGATGATGATGATGATTTGGTGCCTTCAATTCAGTTTTTGGCTCCTGGCAACTGCCTTGGCAAGTCCCTGTAGTTTTCTTGGCAAGATTTGGAAGTGGTTTGCCACTGCCTGCTTCCTAAGGCTGAGAGAGAGTGACTGGCCCAAGATCATCCAGCTGACTCTGTGCCTAAGGTGGACTAAAACGCAAGGTCTCCTGGTTTCTAGCCTGATGCTTTAACCACTACACCAAACTGGCTGTCTTTTAATCAGTGATAGATATTAATTAATTCACTGCTTGCCAAATACCTTCGTGGAGTACAATCTTCATGAGGTGGGATAATGACAACCTTCACAGTAACTGAAGTTCGCAGGAGATCAATCATTTGCTCATGGCTTAGAGTAGCTACAGCTACAGTGCAAATTTCCACTAATCTGCTGCCTTGTCGTAATCCTGCTTGCCAAGCATATCCATAGGGTTCAACATCTGCCACAATTCCTTCATAGTTCACATGGAAGCCAAGTTGACCCAATCCATTCCGTCGTAAAGTCATTTCCACTGACTCACATCCCTTGGTCACGAGCTGAGATTTGGAAGGCAGAGATGTGGAGGGGTAATGGGAACAGTTTAGTACAATGAACTGTATTCAGTAGGAGGCACAAATAAATGGGCTAGATGTTTAAAACAGAGTGTGAACCAAGACAGAACACTGTAATTCCTTATTAATATAGCAATTATACTGTATAGTTTTTGAGGAAGATAGCTGGTTCACTACTGAGTAGAATCCCAGACTTAGTCTGATCTTGTATAAATGACTAGCTATATTCCAGTAATAGCTAAAATAATTATGAACGTCACAAAAGCATTAAATACAGTAATTTATGAAACAATACCCACAGTAATAGAGGATTTGTAGACTAGTATTCATTTATAGACTGACAAAAAGCATTTAATTATTAAATCCTATATTGATTTGACATTCTTTATAATTCAGTCAAATCTTCTATTGGTGTGGAACTCTGTTTTACTATTTCAAGTCCTGTTCCTAAAGGATATTCTCAGTAATATTTTTGAATGCAACAGAAAAATATTAGGTCTTTTCTCATAGCATGGAAAATACTATTCTGATTACACAAATAAGAACATTTCCTATATAAATCTGCAGCAAAATTATAGATACTAATACTATATTATAAATACACATTCCAGACCTTAATCTGGACAAAAACTAGACAAATAAGGAACAAGACATTTTATTGGTCTGATAGGGTAGGACAAGAATGAGAAAAATAACCTAACAAGTGGCTGAACCATTTTACTTTGCTAGTTTGCTGCTCAGATCCAAGAAGGAAACTAAAACTTTTCTATATGTACTTATGCTTGAGGAAGGAAGGGAAGGGGGAAATAAGGAATTCTAACCTCTAGTCTTTTGACAATTTCCTTGATATCTTCAGGGTTTTTGAAACTTTCCACAGAAACACATTCTCCTCTTTCATAGAAAATTTTAACACTTGTATCAGTTGAAGTCCAACCTATTACATCTCTGCAGGAACAATTGAATACAACACTTTTTGTATCTTGTTCAATTATGACAACAAATTCATTAGAAATGCCCAAAAGACAATCTATATCTACGCCCTTGCTATAGTCTTTAGCATGGAGAATCCAGACAACAGCGCCAGAACTATGGAGTTCTACTCCTGGATGAGGTTTGGATTTCTCCTTCTTCTTAGAAGCAAGTGAGATGAAAGGGAATTTGCCAGAAGGATCAATGGGTGTATTTGTCACATTCTTTTCTGCCAAATCTTTCAAGTATTCCTGACGGGTTCTAGTAGCCATAGCACGGAATTTTTCTGATTTATGAGCTGCATTCTCAGCATTGATCACTTTGGCCAGTAAGAAGTCCCTGAATACATTTGATTTAGGAAAGGTGATGCTTTTAGGAATTGGAGGTCCAAATGAGGGCACATCTCTTGATCTTGTCACAGCAACACTGCAAAAATACATAAAAATGTGATTTAAAACAATATGCAGAAACATTATACATTTCGGTGTCCTATCTTCTCTTTGTTTTCTTTAGACAGTCCAGGTCTACAGAGGATACTCCATAACAACTGCAAGATGCATTATGACATAAAAAAAAAAAGTTCTCTGATGTACTAATTATTTACAATTTAGCCTATTCCTTAAAATTTCTTTAATATATATCTGAGTATATTATATCATTATTATTATTGCTTAGCAACTTTTCCCTTTACATGTGATATTTGGAAGATAAATAGAATTATTGAACCTTAAGGTTTCATGAATAAATGTACAGACTACATATGACACTTATTACATGATTAATTAATCAGTCTGTTTGATGTGTACAAAGTTTGCAAAGCTTTGCACGCTATTTCCCCTTTTATGAAGTCAGTAACATCTTACACACATCTTTGTTCTTCTGCAAACTTACAAACAACAAAACATTTTTGAAGTGAAGTTACCCTGCTATAAAGCATTCACACATTGACACTTTGCATAGTTTAATCTTTTATTCATATATATTTGGAACAACCACTCCCACGTGCCCTGAAAACACAAGAAATACCTTTAGACTACACAAAATTTTAACCGTCCCTCCCAGAGTTACAAAGAAACACAAACACTTGCTGATTAGCATAAAGGTTATTTTCAAATGTTTACTGGGACTGCTACTTCTATTGCTCCTTAACCAAAAAGAAAAGAAGCAGAAGAGTAGCAGATGACTGTATCGATGGAAGTGAGAATTATATGGAAAATGCAATAATGCAAACCTCCCTTTAAAAAATGTAAAGAATAGAGCAGTAGGATTTAAATAAAACATTAATGCATGTGAACCACTGCACTGGTAATTCAGCAGGATCCAATCCTCTTTTTTCACCAGCATTTTTATACTGGCATGTGTGAAAATCCTTCTGGTTTGAATGACAACAGATTTTCACCACTCAGATTTTGTTCTACCTGTAAGAGCCAGTAGAAGACTCCATGCCATACTCATCTCTTCCTAGTGTTTTTGAGAATCTGACAACATCCTTCAGCTGCTACATTACACTCCCCCTCCCACCATAGGTCTGTTGCTTTCCTCTCAAGCTCTCTGCTCCCTACCAGTCCAAAATGCAGACTGTGGGTGCCATTGGGCTTCTACATACCCGCTAACAACTATATTAAAAAGAAAGGTCAACATTATCTCCATGGGTTTTCTATTATATTAGGGAGCCACTTAAAAAAGTGGCCTAAATGATGTGGGCTCTGATTTTATTAAGACTGCACCAGTGGCTTTATCAAAAGGGGGGAGAGGAATAGGAAGGAAATGTGACTATCAAGAAAGAATGGTGATTATATTTACAAAGATTACCTACAATGAGAGCAGGGTAGCATAGCATTATTGTTTAAGCCCTGTCCCTCAAACAGAAAATACAGTCATAGTCTCTTCTTTCCATTTCAAGGGTCTTTCCCGGTTTAAGTACTCCAAACAACAAGACAATTGTTAATTGTTACACAATTCTGAAATAATCTTCTTATATGCTATTATTACTTTACATAGAAATATGTGGAGTCTTTCAAGAAGAGCATATGAAATAAATAACCAATATTTGTATTTCTAATACCTTAAAGAGAACTGTATCTTCAGTATCTTATTTCCCAATCACTAATGTTGAAAGATTTCATTTATATGTCTTGCATATTTTTCAGAGGAAGTCATATATAGCCATTTTTCAGAAACACACATTCTGCTTACTGTGCATTCAAAAGAAATTCCATGCACATAAACTTTGTGGGATAACCACTACAAAGCTAATGTATAAGATATATTTGGTTTTCATTCTGCTCTGCAAAGCCATTAGTTTCAATATATTTAACTCATATATGAAGATTTTTGATAGGAAAAACAGAAATACTAAACATTTCTCAGACTTCCATATACCTGTAATTGCACCTGAATTACTGAAAAATGATATTTTACCAAAAAATGATAAAAGACATTAGAAAACAGAACACCAAATATTGCAACTTATCATTATTCTCTGTCATGCAAAGCTATCATCAACACTGTAATAGCTACCTGTAACAAACGTTGTCAGTACAAGGATTGTGCACTCGGACAATGACAAAGACATGCTGAAAGTGGGAACGAATATTCTTTGGGCTGAATGATTCGGCTCCAGGTTCTTGGAAAACTATTGTCACGATATCATTTCCAATATGTCGTTTTCTTAACAGCTTTGAGCATGAAGAGAAGAAATCCATGAGAATTAAAAGCATATATGTTTTACAGAATGTAATTATTTGTTCCCATTAGTTGATGGTTTAAAAAAAATATGTGATGGTTTTTAAAAAATTGTTCCTAAATAAGCAAATGAAGAATTTATCAATATAAATTATGTTACAATAAATTAGTACTCACAGTTTCCATAACAACAGTTAGAAATCTACTTCAATGCAAAAAAAAAAGTCTTTCTACAGAGTAGATCTTTGTTTCTAAAATTAAATTTACAGTCATAAAAATGTTATTATTATGTTGCTTGTCTATTTGCTATTCTAAATCTTTACAAAATGCTAAAGTTTTTAATTTTGACAATACTGTTCTGTATATTAAAATTATGATTTTATATTGGCATACTTACCAATTTAATTCTCTTTGTGTTCTTCAATTCAGGCTATATTTTAAAAAAGTGTTTATCAGGGGAAGAAACCCCTCAAGTTTCTTATAATTTATAATAAGAGGAACTTGTTTGATAGAATTAACATGAGATTCAAACCGTTAGATGAGAATAAAGAAGTTTAAACCACCACAATAAAACATTCTTATTTACAATTATTACATTTTTCAAAACTCAGATATGGATCTCTAAAATATACCTTTTCCCCAATTCAGTTCAAATAATAATTAGCAAAATTTTAAGGATTTATAGTAGTAAAAATGGGATCAGGAACATCCAAAGGGAGAATGGTGATGGTGGTGGTCAATTGTGTCAAGATGGCAAGTGTGACCGGGCAATCAAAGATCCATACTCCTTTGACTTCTGGGGATGAAATGGCAAACTGAAGACAGTAGAGCCGACAACTGCGGCAGAATGAAGAGCTGGTGAGTACACTGGCTCTTCATAATTTCTCTCCAGACAAGGAAAGGACTTGAGATCACCCACAAGTGCTCCAGACAGTTGCTCCTCAAGAGGAGACACAAGACAGCAGTCACCAGCAGGTTTAGAGCTCTGGGAGACGAGGGAATAGCCATCTTGCTCAAACCATGGTTGGCGCCTTTAAAAGGACACTGG